AAACAGCTCTCAGCCCAGAAGAACAAGGAAGATGAGGTAATTATGGTTTTGGCACAGTTAACACTGGCTGAGGGCATTTTCAGTCAAGCCTGGACAGACAGTGTGCTGTTTCTTTCCAAGGCAGTTGAGATAACTGCACACGTTACAGGAATCCCTTCTCCCTTTCCAAAATACAGCTGTTAAACAGTGTGCATAAACACTAAGCAGCTGCTGGGGGCTGTCTGCAAGAACCTGCAGGGTGACTTTTAGATGGACAGGATGCAGTTGTCTTAAACTATTTTGGACCTGGAGCACACCAGTTATCCTGGCTCCAGAGCAAATGAAAGACTCGACAGCTGTGAGGGCTTTCAAGGATAATCGACTGCCACTGGGAACCACTGGGAGATGAAACTGAGCCATTTGGGAACCCTGGGAGCAACCCTTCCCCTTGGGCTGCCCCCAGGGCCAGGAAGGATGGAGGACAGGACACAAAGCAAGCCTGGCTTCTGTATGGACATCCGGAGCTGGCTTTAAAAGCTGTGAAGGAGAGTGTGGAGTCCCTCCTGCCTCAGGCATGTAGCTTATATACTGCCCAAAGACCTCTAGTGTCAAGAGATCCAATAGTGGAAGGCAAGAGACCAGGGCTTTTCCTGGGAGAAGGAGCTGGCAAGGTATATAAACCTTCCCACACTTGACCTTGGCAGCAAGTAAATGGAGCCTGCAGAAGCAGCATGCAGCAAGGGAAGGGTCAAGGCTTGCGTGCCTGATTCTGTCCCTCCTCAGACTTTCCCATCTGGCAGGGGGATGGTTGGTACCCATGGTCTGAGAAGCAGTGGGTTTGAAGCGCCTGTTCAGTATTGCTGTTTCCTATGTTTCCACTATCCTTTTTTCCCCAGGAGTGCTTGGCTGCTCCCTGCTCTGGCATATTCTTTGCTGTGTATTCAGCAGGAGTCCCTAGCTTTTTCATACTACTCCAGTGACAAAAAGTTGCTGTCATTACTCCAGGCCTTTTTTGCCTTGGGTTTATAAGGACAACTGTTTTATGACTCGCTGAGCTTCTACTGTGTCCACTAATGGCTTTTATGTAAAACGATTCACCAACGAGACCGTAAAGGCCAGCAGCCTACGCAAGTGGTATTTCTGCAAAGTTTCCCTGTCCTTTCCAGTGACATTTGCCAGGGCAGCACAAAACTGCTGGTCCCTCTGTGTCAGGACGTGATGCTGTGACCATGCAGTTGGCAAGAACATATCCTCTGAGAGCTCATTCCAAATGGAAATGTGAACCATCAAAATGTGGACATCCACCATACAAAGGGCATCTGCACCTGTCTCCTCATGGTTCACCCTCTGTCCTGGGTCACAGCAGTCTGCTAGGGGTAGGTAATGCCAAGCGTTGGGCGTGTTGCCTCCATGCATGCAGCTCAAGGTGATTTAGAGGAGATTCCTCCTCCAGATGCACACACACATTATACACACAATGGCAGGCCTCAGAGTGAAGCCCTGGGTAAAGAGAGCTGCTGGTGATTCCAGATGCAGCTTCCAGGTGGAGCAGCCTGTCTTACAGAATTCTTGTGGGTCCCTGACTCATTTGTCAGGAAAAGGCGCACTTCCATCACCAGAAATAGGCCCTCTCCTTGATAATTGTCTCTCTGATGGCTGGCATCAAATTTTTGCAGGTATCACTCTTCTCAGGAGCCTGTGACACCCCCCAATCTGCAGTGCCAGTTCAGTATTGCTGTTTCCTATCACTATGTTTCCACCATCCAAGCTTCAGTGATAACCTCCTTCAATTCACCTTCAGGCATTCCCACATTTTCCTCATGATATAGTGAGCAGTCAGATCCCAAGTCCCAGGTTCTTCACGGGTGATGAGCCACATATCCCCACTCTGCTATCCAATGCTGGGCAAACAGTTTGCCATTAGCAATGTGTTCAACAGAAACTGTCTTTCTGTCTGTTTTTGAGACTGGACATAGAGTCTTGGGAGTTCATTATCACTGGAAATTCCTCAGTGAATTGTTCCAGTGACCGGCATTGGATGTCCTGGCGAACTGTACTGCCGTTCATGCTTTTAATACTCCTTGAGCATTCTGTGGGTTTGGTCTTGGCATTTTTTTCTAACCCTTGACTCCCAAACCAATATTTCCTTTTCATAAAGGCTGCTGCATTAGTACACTCTCTCTAAATGCTCATGTGGCTGCTGTGTTATTTAACAAGTCTCCTGTTTATGAAAAAGAGAGAGAGAGAAAAAGAGAGATTCTGAAAACAGAGGAGTCTGTTGTAGGCTTCTTCATAATACCTTTCTGTCTTGCAACGATGTGGTAATAGATGTTCTCACCACAGCCCCATCCTACTTGTGATGATGAGTGTTGCTCTCTCCCGTTCATTGTCCATACTACACTGCAAGCTTGTGTTTATCCATTTCAATGTGTGTTCTGTAAGACAGCTTATTTCGCTTCCCAAAAGCATCAGAAGCACCTTCTAAGACTACCAGAGAAGGCACATATTCCTTTAGGGCTCAGCACTTTGATTTCAAAGGTAAGAAATTTACTTTTTCGATCAAGGAAAGTATTATCAGTATCACTAATAGGTTAAAGCCTCAAATCCCAGGTCAGATTGCATTTGATAGGAAAAACCACCAGAATAATTCCATGCTGTCAAGGCAACGAAGATGAAAATATATTGACTTTCTTATCTAGTATCTCTTATTGTCAATAATGAATGAGTCTGTGGAAAGGTTTGCCCATCACATTGTTTTTTATTGACACACAGTGAAGCAAGATACATGCAATTACCACAGTCCCAGACCATTACCCTTGGCAGGATGCACCATTTGCAGCTACAGAGCAGTGCATAGGCACTTCCACACACTGACCAGCCAGAAGGGGTTTTGTACTGGAACCCAGTGCAAATCAATACCCATTTTGTTCTCCTTCTTCATGCTCTTCCTCTTTCTATTATGAATGACAGAATTTAGAGGCTTTCAGCTCTAAAACCCATGCTGACATAAGTGACTTACCAAAGTAGGATCACGCTGACTGGAAGAATCCATACCACAAAGCTCAGCTCCTATTCAGGCATCTATGTGACCAGAAGCTTCAGTTGAGTTCAGCTCCCAACTTTCTCACCCTTGCTTGCAGTAAGAATTGCTGTTTAGATCTCTTCCCAGTCTGACCTCTATGTTTTATGCATCTAGTAGTGTTGTTCTTTAAAATACCTATAGAATATGATCTTGCTATATTCACATAATGATCAAACCTTCTACAAGGGCATGCCTTTAAACAAAGACACTGTCTATCTTAACCAGCAAGATTAGTAGTTGCAGATCTAATTGTAAAGTTTTTCTCCCAGTATGTACTACAAGACCAGGGAACCATTTGCCAAACAGAAAAGCATAAACTGAGCAGAGAAAGAAAAGCTAGATCACTGAACTTCTGAGAGGTGATCTCTATTGACAGAAAATAAAAAGTTTGAGCCAACCCAGAAACTGATCTAGAACATGCAACATCAAGACTTTGAAGATAACACATCCTGCTGAATGCGAGCACAAAGCTTTGGGCTCTCTGGTTATATCAGCTGCATAACAAGAGGAGTAGTTCTAGCTGAATTACAAACATCTGGTTTCCTGTTTGAGGCATCACAATCAATCTTCTCCAGTAGCACAAACTGCTTACTTCACCCCAAACTCAAAGCTCTTCTGAAATATCATAGAAAAACCATCTGGGTTTGAGTTGTCTTGTCAGTATCTATCTATCTTGTGAAAGATTTTTCCAGGATGTTAACTAACAACTCCATCCAAAAAAATTCTTCCATGTTTCTTGTCATCCGTGATCACATATATTTAGATAACATATGCCCTGTACTTGCTTCTCTGGTAACATATGCCCTGTACTTGCTTCTCTGGAAACTCAGGTTTGGTTTGTGCCAAGAATTGAAGGTAAGAAATTTGCCTTGCATGTATTATTGCTCATAGGCTCTTGCTCAGCTGCTGGGACTGAAGCATAACATGCATGTACACATTTGAAAATAGACTGCCTTGGTGTCCCACTCAAACTGAGCTCTTGCTCAGCCGCTGGGACTGAAGCATAACATGCATGTACACATTTGAAAATAGACTGCCTTGGTGTCCCACTCACAAACTGTGAGCCAACCCACCTCCCCGATTCCTTCTTCATTGGAGTAATTTCATCAGTTGGGGCTTATGAAGCAAGAATTTTGCTAACCCTTGGAGCTCTGAAATATTATTTCTTGTTTTCCCCTTTACCACAGCTTACATGCAGAACCAGTGTGTAAGAATGCATGATGCATTATTCAATGCCATGCAGAAATTCTGTTGAGCTTCTTCTGTTTGGCACCGACAGTAACCTTTGTCTGGTCTGTGACTGGAGAAAGCCATCTCCTGAGTGTGTAAAGTGCATTTGACCTTACTTTCAAGCACCCACGTGCATGCCCAAAAAGCCATAGAACTCGTTAAATTCATGGTCCAGAAACTAGTGTTTTGTTCTCTGCCCCTGCTCTGTCTGACTTTGGGTGAATGCAATTGAATGTCAGAGATGCAGCTCCTCTGTAACGCAAGAGGAGGATTACAGTTTTCCTGACATCGGAGAGGGGGTTACAACAATGCAGCTGACGTAGGAGGGGACGGGTTACAGTGCATCTGACATAATAGCAATTATAGGAAATGTATTTACAGGAATGGATGGAAAACAAATTTAATATGATGTTCCAGAGGAGGACAATAAAGGTGTGTTGCAACAGTCCTTCCCCCCATGTGGAAAGCCATATTTCTCAGTTGTCCATCGGCACAAACAATCTGTGCTGTAGAGCAGGAAATATCAGACGCAAATAATCACATTAATCTCTAAGGAAGGATACCTGTTTTCGTAACTTGCTCATTCATGAAGGTCTCTTAGTAGTGGCTCAGACAATAGGTGGATATATGAGGTTTTCCCCATAGAATCACAGTAACAGTGGCACTGTGCTGCAAACGCGACTTTTATTTTGTTTCTGTTTTCTTTCAGAGTGAGCAAAAGGGGGAGGGGAGAAGCTCCTGATTTTTCAGTATGCAGTAGATAAACACCATTAATACCCTCTTCAAAGGAGCCTGTGCATATTGCCTTGCCTAGCAGAGGTACAGGCAGGCATAAGCAGATGAAGCAATTACTTGGGACACTGGGAAAGCAATAGCCTTTCCATTTTAAGCTGCAGTGAGAGCACAGTGGATCTCAGGCACTAATGCACTGATATAGAAGAAAGGTGAGTGAGGCCGTTAATTCATTTTGTCGCTGGGGAAGAATGTGTAGCTTTCTGCATGAGTCACTCACAACTGAGGGGAGGGGAGCAGAGGCTGGAGTGAGGGGACATCAGAACTGCCACATGTGGGTCACTGTTTCTAGCACAGCCATCAACAAAGAACATACGTGTGCAATGAATTCCATTGTCTCAGGCTACTTCCTGTTGGGCACGTGTCCACGTCGCCCACAGCTGCACTGCTGGGGCACCTCTGCTTCCTTTGGCACATCTGTAAAAAGCAATAGGACGCTGGTGAAGGTCAGGCCAAAAGGAACAAGGCTGAATTACCTTCCCACCCTCGCAGCTTGTCCCCCTGGCCAGGCATGGGGGCAGACATCCAGTCGCCAGTGAGGGCCTCTGCACTGGCTGGAGAATAACCGACAGATCTTGCCCAGGTGGGAACACCTCATGGCAACCCCAGCAGACATAAAGCCAAGGGCAACAGCCTTCTGTCTTTTGGCCTGACCACGGGAAGGTTCCTGAACCTGTGGAATGGGGGCTGATTTCCCACTACTTCCATCAGGCTGGAAGATGGGATCGCAAAGAGAAAAGGTCCCATGCAAGTCAAGGGAAAAGGAGTGCAGGAGAGTTTAGCCTTGAGTTTTAGCTTATTTAGAGCTTGAATATGGAGCTCCCACCAAGAGCCCTGCCTCAGCCTGGGGGTGCCCTGGGGCTGTGAAGCTGCTGGACATGGACAGTGGGTCGACTGAGTGTCCCAGCTCTTGTTTGACGGCTCAGCACCCATGCAGGACCCAGCCTCCACAGCTCCTCCCTGCCCCAGCACAGCTCTTCCACACAGCCAGTCTTCCAGCAGCAGTGTCAGAGGGTTTCCTTCTTTCACCACTGCAAGGGGTTTCCAGTGCTGCTTCCCTGCTGCTGCCTGCTGCTTGTTGTTTCCATCTTATCCTGTCTGTAGCCTCTTCTGTCTTGGACCCTTTGCAGCCTTCTCAGCTTCCAGCTCTGTCTGGGGCCCTGGGAGGACCCAGAGCCTCAAATTACAGCTATGCATACAGCAGTGAGCAGGGAGGATGCTGAGCCAGACAAGGGAAGGATCATTTCATAGGAACCAAGCCCCCTGTCACATGGACTGTGGACACATCCTTCTTTCACCTCTGCTCTCATATCTGAAGTCTACTTAGCATTTATTTTTTGCTTTGGAGCTGGCAGCTTGACTGAGCTTGCACTTAACACTTCCCTGTCAGGTGTGGCCTAAAAGCCCCAAACAACAAAATCGCACATGAGCTGCTACTGTGTGTAGGATGTTTCAGGGAGCAGTGAGGAGTCATACACAGTTTCAGCAGCAACTGCTGGCAATGAGTTGCAAAGCCTTGGAGCACCAGAAAGCTAGCTCCTGCTGTTTGACCTGCATCTCTGTCCACACTCCAGCTGGAAGCAGGGGGCTAACATTAAAGTACAAGTGTTAATCTTACAGATAGTCCAGCCTGATGTGAAAAATCACATATATGAGCTGCCTAAATTGTACTAAACCCAGTATGTATGTAGCTCTATTTATACCAGCTACAAGATTAAAATTAATCACTTAATTGCAGTATGAAGGTTGCTCTTGCAGTTAAAGCACTTTGCCTGGGTTCAGGACACAGAGATGTGTTTCACTGCTCTGCCACAGACTTGCCACATCACCACCATGGGCAAAACACTTTATCTAGTCTTTTGCCCTTCCAGTAGTAAAGTAGCTATAGAAAGTGGGTGAAATTACATCTTTTCCTTACCTGCTATCCATTTTGCTTGAGAAGATCACACACACTCAGTGGGAAAGTACCATTTCAAAGTGTTGGTCTATAAGCATCTGAACTCCACGTGGCTCTGCCCCAGGCATGTGCCTACCTGGTTAATCCTGATGCCAGTAGCAACAGTAGCTTAACACAGATATACTGAAACCCAGAGATTCTTGGAGTCCTCTTTAGTCAAAACCTTTCAGCAGAATACGTGCTTTACCTTGCAGGACACCTTGCAGATGGATGTTTTAAGAGATGTTGAGCAATTGCAGCCTCCAAGTAAACTCAGCAGAAACTGTGAATGCTTACTCTCTGACAATCAGCCCACATACTATAAAATTACTTTTAGCTAAATTTAAGTGGGCACGGCTAGATTATAGGTGTGTGTTTGCTTTTACTACTATCACCACCTTTGGTCATTAAACTTAAGCAACTGAAAAAAAACCCTACCTCAAAAGCCATTATTCAGTGTTAGTTGTTTAGCTTCTGCCTTTTATCTATCCTGGGCAATGGAAATAACCTGGCCCACTTATCTTTTTACATAATCTTTTCATGTGTTTGTTGCCAGTTGTCAGTCAGGTTCACATGCCCCAGCACAGTGGAGCACTATCAGAGTGACAAACACGGAAGGGAAATGATTGCAATAAAAGAAAGACACTCTCAAGGGCATAGACCACCTTGTTTGTTCTGTGTTTGTACTTCCCTTAATACAAACAAAACCAGTCAGAGGCTTGGTATCAATGGCAGCTTTTGCAGCACATTGTATTTAGGAAAGTAAAGAACCCTAACATGCCTGGTGGTGACCCTTCCTAAAGCTACTTTATAGCCCTAAATGAATGCTGAAGAGGTCTTTGTACCTTACTCTGCAAGACAAGCTCAATGTATTATGTCAGTAAAATGTCATCGCCACATCAATTATGAAATGTCATAAATGTTAACAACAAAAGATCATTGTTGCGATCATAATTATGTAACTCTGATGCAATGTTATGACCAAAGACATTCCAGTGGTCTGAAATGTATTTCTGGATACCATTGTGGTGCCTCAGTGAGGATATGCTAACCTTTAAGTATTCTTGCCAAGATTGCAGTGGCAGCCTGGATTTTTTCAAATTCAAAGACACTTTGAAGTCATATTAGAAATAGTCATGCACTATTTTTTTTCCAAGATAATGTTTTTGTCTTTAAAATAAGCGTACAAGTATTCTAGTTGGTTATCTCATCTTCTTTAAATGTCACTCTACTTTTCGGAACATGGCATCTTCCTTTTTACTTTTTTCTAGGCCAGAGTCTGACTTGGACCAGGAACATCTCTATTCGCTTCAGCAAGGTTTTAGTCAACTAAACTGTGTGAATGACAGGACACTGAAAATACTCCAACAAATCTAATTTTCAAAATAATTACACTGGTGTTTCCTGGGGAAAAATAAACCCAAACTACAGCTATGCTGCAAGTAATACCACAGGAAACCTATCATAGCAAACCAGGCTGACTACAGCTGTGGAGGGTGAAATGGGTAGAAAGGAATGCTGCTGTTTCTCTGGTTTGTGTTCTTTTTGCCAAGTGAAGAAAGTTGCTATTGTTGTTAGTTTTGAAACTGATCGAAAATGCTGAGTGAAATGACTAAAGATTGAATTGCTGGAAATATCTGCAAGAGGAATTCTGTAAGGCAACAGTGTTCATGCATATTCCCATCCGTTGACCATGCCACCCTCAGGGAGGGAGCACAGGACTGCTGCAATGGGAAAACTTAGGTGTTGTGTCCTCCCAGTTTCTCCCTCTTCCTAGAGAAATCAAGGAACTTCCTTGTGGAGGTGCTCTGGAAAGTACTTCTCTGCTTTCCTCTCTTTTCTACTCTCGTCAGGTACAAGCCTGCTCTGTAATTGTTTCTCTCCTAACCATGGGTGTTTCTCTGAGGAGATTCCTCGTTCAGGATATCCAAGACACCAGAGGGCAGCAGAAGTGTTAAAGCAGAAATTGCAAAAGCATCAACCTTCCCAACAGAAGGACCTCTTTTGATGATGATAAACCGTGATTGTGTAAGAGGTTTGTAATGACCTGACAGTATCAATTCATAATGAAACTGGTAGAAAAACGATGTAATTATGACACTACCAAAACTGTGCAATAGCTACTTCTGAGCAGCACTGCTGGAAACTGTTATGACCCACATGTACAAAAGTGGAAGAGAAATACCGAAATGTTGCTGAGAGTAATAGACACATGAAGTCTTTAATTTAACTCTCATATATCATATAATAGCGTTATAACTCTTAAAATCTCTTGAAAACTATGCAGTGCATGAGCTCCCTCCTCCACTGCGGAAGTGGTACATACCCCACCCTCTGGACTAGAGATTTCAGGTAAGTACGCAAGTAACTTCCACACATAGCTACGCCTGCCAGTTCTTCTTGCTTCTTCCATCTAATGCACATAACTGAAATCAGCATGATGGATTCCCCTTAGTGTAGCCCTCTGGTGAGGTATTACACTCTTCAGACAGTGCCATGGCACAGGCATCCACCTCTCCTTATGATTAAAAAGTCATGAGGTGATAGGGAGAGCACCAAATCCAGTCCTTTTCCTCCCATTTGGGAAGAAAGAGACTCCAAGAAGTCCCTTTAAAAGAAAGAAAAATGCTATGCTCCTAGCTGGGGCTGGCTCTCTTGAGTGTTCTTTTGAAAAGGACCAATTCTGTTTGACATTCTAAAACACTTAATCAATTTCAAATGAAAACAGCAACTATAATTAAAGAGAGGAAAATCCCACCACAGCAGAGGAACCATTATTAAGGTAATTTTTTCCTTTATAACTCCTGGGGCACTGTTCAGATGCAGTTGCTACTGTATGTGCTGTTTGTGCGTCAGCTCCTCTTCATGGGCTCCACAGAGAATATACTGTTAGCTTAATAATAACAATAATAATAATAATGTCAACTTTTCATGTGAATTATTCAAGGCACTGTGTAAGCGAGCACTAATTGAACGTTACAATAGCCTGGGCTACCTGCGTGCTGTTACCCCGCTTCCAGCAGTACATAAGCAGGTTTTTTGTGCGATGGTCAAGATAAACGAAGTTTGGGGGTTAGTTTTAGGAGTTATTTCCCCATGTTTCTATGACAAAGAACCTGCAGAGTAAGTGGCCTCCTGAAGGGCTGGCACCCATGCTGTGGTGGGTAACACAAGCGATATAGTTTGTTAGGTAAGAGACGCACAGGAAGTCCTGCTTGCTTCACTGGAACGTCCCGACAGATCTGAGGCGTGCTGATGACACACAGCTCATGTACCATGTAATTTGATTTATAGAGAGCTTTCCTCATCCCTTCCTTAGAATAAATCCTTAAAAACTGACAAAAATCTCCCCCTCCTCCCACTGTGTGTCCCTCCTGAGCCCTTCAGAAGCCATTCAGGCACCACTGAATGACCACCAAGGAGACCACCAACTGCAGGTGAAAACAAGCATACCAATTGCTTTGAAGTCTTCAGTGTGAATCAGAGCTCTGCCTCTTCCACCCAAGGCATTGCCTTATTCCAAGCAGTCTGGAAAACCCCATCCACATGGTGCCTGTAGACGGAAGAGGAGGGTCACTGCCTGGTGTGCCATTGGCTATGATGGCCAGGTGAGGGGTTCAGACTCAGGTGGACGGTCTTCCAGCCAGAAGCCCAACCACTGTCTGGAGAATTACTTGTCCGAAAAAAGCCTAGGCTGACTCTCATTAAGTTGAGTAACAGATGTGGCAGGCATCATTCAAGGCTTATTTTCGAGGATAAACTGGGATTTGAGACCAAACGTATACACATTCTGGTCATTTGCTGTGTGAAAGCTAAAGACCTGTGTGTTAGAACTCAGTGCATCTGCCACTCCACATTTGACCTTGAGAGGAACCTCGTGGGCACTTTCAAGGTGCTGAGGTTCAATTCCAAACAGCCTCCTCTGTCAGGAGTCACCTTGACAAGAAGGTGACTTCTCAAACCTCACTTCCAGGCTAACCAGAGATAATAGCACTGCAGGCGCATTCAGAACATGTGAGTAAGTTGCACAAGTATCATGGGACTGGATATATATACATACTATATATTACTTCCATTCCAGCCTGTGACCAACTGATGGACCTAGAGTTTACTGTCTGCAGGCCAGGTCAGCCCCATCTTGCGTGCCAGAGGGGACGTTCTAGAGAAGTCCCCGTCCATCACGCCTGGGGCGACTCCGGCAGCTGGGGAGCTGCGCAGGGGAACGGGGGTCAGTACCCGCCGCAGACATTGGCGCAAAGGGGCCGAGGGGGGAGGTGGGGGCACGGCACTGCCTGCGTTTTGGGATTAGGAAAGCACGTTCCCCGCAGGGCTGCAGCCACGCTTTCCGTACTGCCAGCGCGACAGCCGCTGTCAGTGGCCCCGCACCCGGCGGACTCCGCCGCAGGGCGAGGGCTGCCTCGGTAGCCGCGACGGGGGTGGCAGGGACTCGGCACACCCGCCGGCAAGGCTGGGGAGAGGGGTGGGGGTCACCATGGGCGGTGTGCCTCCTCATGCGGGGTCAGCGCGGCGCCCGCCGGGCCCTCACGCCGTGCACCACAGCGGCCCGCGAGCCCCGAGCGGCCACCACCCGGTTAACGGCTGACGGCGGCTGCGGCGCGCCAGCAGGGGGCGACCCCGCCGGGAGACGGGGCGCGTCACGTGACCGCGCAGGGGCGCTCTCGCCCCCCCTATCCGCCCTGACGTCACGGCCCCTCCGTCTCCCGAGCGACGGCTCCATCAGCGCGCGCGTCAGTCCGCGCCGTTCCCTGGCAACGGCCCGGTGCCTCGCTCCCCTTCAGCCTCGCGCCCGGGTGCGCGTCTCTCTGGCGTCAAAGTGACGTCAATGGGCTCCGTCTCGGCTTTCGGGCGGTGGGCGGGGGGAAAGGAGGCGGGAGGGAGGGGCGGGGTGTGCGTGGAGGGGGGCGGCCGGGACATCCCGCGTGCTCCCGCCTGCCCCCCGGCGCACGCACGCAGACACACACACACACACACACACACACACACACACACACACACACACGCACACACGCAGACGCGCACACGCGCTCACACAGACAGTAGCGCACACAGTCAGTCAGTCCCTCACTCACTCAGTCACGCACACGCTCCTCCGCGGTAGCGGCGGCACCGGCACAGACTGGAGACAGCAGCCGCGGACAGCGCCCGCCCGCCCGCCCGGCAGGTACGGCGGCTCAACGGCCGCCCCGACGGTGTGAGGGAGCGCGCGGGACCGGCGTTCCCGCGAAGCTCGGACGGGGCAGCCGCGGGGGTACGCGGGGAGGAGCCCGCCGGGTTGGGAGGGGAGGGGACGGTGAGGGGAGGCGGGGGGTGTTTCTTCTCCCGGAGCCGGTCGGATGTGACGGGGGTGCGCGCTGTGCCCGTGTCCCCGTGCAGGTGCGAGCGCCCGCGTGCAGCGCGGATGGTGCCCCCTTAAGCGCGGCGCGCGCGCTGCCCGCCACCCCGAGCCATGGTGATCATGTCAGAGTACACCTCGGTGCCCGCCGCCGGGCAGGGCCAGCAGCGGCCTCTGCGAGTCGGCTTCTACGACATCGAGAGGACCTTGGGGAAAGGCAACTTCGCTGTGGTAAAACTGGCTAGGCACCGAGTCACCAAAACGCAGGTGGGTGCGGAGCACACGGCGGGATGTCTCTGTGCGTGCGTGTGGCTGCGGGGGTTTGCTGCCTCCGACAGCACCGCCAAAGGAAAGCGGGAGCTCTGGGGGTGAGGAAAGCGGCGTTGAGCTCTGCGAAGTCCGGCGGGCTGAGCGTGCCTCAGGACTGCGCGCCCGTGGGATGGGGCTCTTCGAAAGAGCTTCCCGGTGTGTCCAGTAGAGCCCACCTCAAATTAAATCTGAGCAAGGATATATGAAATCCAGAATTCCATAGAATCACAGAATGGTTTAGGTTGGAAGGGACCTTAAAGATCATCCAGCTACAGCCCTGCTGCCATGGGCAGGGACACCTTCCACTACGCCAGGTTGCTGAAAGCCCCGTCCAACCTGGCCTTGAATTTGTGAGTGTTTTGATAGTTTTGTTGAATTACTCCGTCCTTGTTTGCTAAAAAGTCCCGACAAATGTAAGACCTTCTGAAGACTTTAGACGGGTTGATTTTTTTCATTCGATGTGTGTGCTTCAAGAACAAAGAACTTGCAGAAATAATTTATTAGCGCGCATGCAACCATGTATATATTTCTGGTGTATGTCAAAATCCTATCAGTCACTCCGGTAGAAAATAGTCTGTTGTGGGAATCTGCTTTTCACTGGCATGGGGTGGATTAAAAGATTTACGGAATCCTGTCCAGTGCTAATTTCAGCAGTTCTGTTCACTACCTTATGTATAATCTTTTGATGTAGAAAAGAAAAATGAAAACACTCTGTGTCGTGAATTCTGGGCAGTTCTGAAAAACAGAATCAGCTTTGTCAAGTCTGTACTTTAAAAGCTACTTTGCTTGGATTTTGTGAGTTGTGTGCGCGCGCAGGGTTTTGGTTTGGGGTTTTATTTCTATTTTAAGAGATCTTAACTTTAAGAGTACCTATTTTGTAATACCTGGGGTTGTTTTATTTTATTATTTTTTTAATCTGCAGGTTGCAATAAAAATAATAGACAAAACAAGGTTAGACCCAAGCAATCTGGAGAAGATTTATAGAGAAGTTCAGATAATGAAGCTTTTGAATCATCCCCACATTATCAAGCTTTATCAGGTAAGAGGGCAGCTTTGAAGTTAAACATGCAGATGAGATATGCCTCTGCTCTTCTATTGCATGTGATTTGACATTGAATGTTTGCAGAGAGGATGCCTATCGAAATACTTTTTGAGAAAAATGAATTGATTTTTAAGTCATTCATCGTTCTTTGAACAAGATTCTGATGCGTTAGGCAGCTTTTGACAAAATCCTGTGTAAAATTTATAATTAAAACTAGGCTGAATTGTGTTTCAGATTGAGGAGCTGATTGTCTGAACTCCTGTGATTATAATTTGCTTTTTGAAACTCCTGCTTTTCCAGTTTAGAGGGCTCGAACTTCTTACGTGCTTTTGATACGAGGAAGACTTAAATTCCTGTAGGACAGCAGAAAACAAAGCACAAAAGTTGAGTTTGCATAAGTGGAAGGGGTTTAAAATCAGCAACAATGAAACTGAATCAATCTAAGTAGAAATCTACACTAAGAATTAGAATTCTAATCTAAGTAGAAAAGTCAGTGAATGTTGGTATCTTAGAAGACATCAAAAAATGACCT